TATAACCCCTATATAACCCCTATGACAGGCCAACCATTCTTTCAAGACCATACAGGAACCCTGCGAATACCTGCCCGTTATCCCAATATAACCCCTATATAAGCCCAGGGTTTAGGGTTTTGGGATTATCCGAATATAGCCCCAATATAGTAGATAAACCCCAGATACTCCCTAAAATCCCTGTAGTTTCCATTTTGGTGTCCATGATCCCTATACAATTTACTCAGGATCTAAGCAAGCAAAACCAGAGATCTCCTTGCATACAAGCACACTTTGGCAAAACCTAAATGAACCCTATATAACACCAATATAGCCCCAATGAAACCCTAATGTAACCCCTATATACTCCCTAAACTCCCTGTAATCCCTATAGTTTCCATTTTATATTCCATCATCCCAATATAATCCCCTATATATACCCCATAATCCCTATAGAATCCCTGTAATCCCTATAGTTTCCAGCTCCTTTTCCATTCTACATTATCCCTCTCCATACAAACAAACTTTCGTATTAGCATCGCCGTGGAGCTGTCATGCACCGGCTTTGCCGAGGGGGCTGGCTTCAGCGGCGCTGGCGGGGGAAGGTCCAGGGACTCCACGTCGGCGCCTGGGCTCGAGCTCAAGGGCCGGACAGGCTTTCGCACGCTCAGCCAAAGTTTGCTTTGACTTGCACCTGCATCTTTGCACGGATTCTGGAGAGGCCCTCTGCTTGCAACAATTGTGACGTGGCAGCCTAAGGCGCTCCCCAAAAACAACTGTGCCCGAGACAAAGCCCCACAGCATGCACAGTAACCTGAGGCCCACCACCATCGTCCGGACCACTGAGAGGACCGTAGTATGGGACTGCCTGGTTTCACTGTAGGTCCGGAGGGAGAACTTTACATATCGAATCACTCGTCTTTCACGGACACGAACTCGAAGTCCAACCACATGTGTGGTGACGTACGTTTTGAAGAGATACATCCGACCCATCTTTTGCATCATGCCAGATCGCGATCGGTCGGTTCAGTATCCCGCCTGGCTTCTTATGGGCGCTTGTTGCACCGGGGCCGGGGGCGGCAGCGGCAGCGGCAGCTCTTCTGCCGAACCTTGTAGCACCAAAGGTCGCTTCCCAATACAGGATACCTTATCAACTATCTGCCAATACTGGGTTTTGGTGGGTGCTTTGGAGTTGGCAGAAATACACCCAACTGCCCTACCCTGGCCGCAACTTGTTGATGACAAGTAGAGCGCTGAAGACAACAAGCAGCATCACAAAAATCAACGTAGGCATGAATGTAGTCAATGCAATTTAGACCATGACCAGCAAAACAACGGAAGCGACGATGACTAATACAGAAACACTCGTGTTGAAGGTGGTGCTCACTGTTCTCTGCGAACAAGCAGCTATCAAAGCGCTGCCCACTTGGTGGTTGCTTCAGCGGTGCAGCCCGCGGGACCGGTAGGTCCTCATGATCGCTACCTTGTCACGGGTAAGTGTGTGGGGGTAGTTGTTAATACCGAGAACCCCCCGCGCACACCCAAAACAATGCAATCCCGTTCAGAACCCAGGACAAATCCGCTGCAACGTATGACTACATGTTTAAGCATGGGCGCACATACCTATCTCTTTCTACAGCAAAGTCACGCGGCTTCGCACTCCTAACTGAACACCTCGCCTTCGTCTTGGCCGATGCAAAATTCTTCGACCTCTGTGTGCACCTGCCATGTCAAGTCGACAAAAACGGATGATGACTGTCAACGGTTGCGATAAGTTTGTAGAGTTGTACTCATGGCCCCATAGGACAGAAAATATAGGTGTAAAAAATATGTGTGACCAGCATACCCGCCATCCTGTAGCATTCTCAGGATGGAAACTGAAGGCATCTGTCTTGGCTGGGCGGGGCTTTGCTCCAAAGAGGCCGTGGCAGAAAAGAGAAACTCCTCGTACTGTGCCAGCCATTGGCATGGTGACGTAAGAAAGGCTCGTAACAGAAATGACTCATCTCCACTACTTCCGTACTCAAAGCTAAACCACCATTGGCATCTGCTCGCTCCTAGGGTATGTGGGCATTGAAGGCACTTGCCAAGTACCTTCCACCAAAGACCGCAACCTGTAGCCAAAACAGTAAATCTGCCCGAGCACTGTTGATCTCGCTGGAGGCGCTTGTAGCAAGGGCGCGGCCGGAGGCAGCGGCAAGTCTTTGGCCTCTGGCACACCTCAAAGGGCTTCATAATGCGCGTCCTCGGGGTCTTAAAGTAGGCGGCATTGTAAGACCACGAGAAAACGAATCATTCCTGCGCATCTCTAGAATGCGCGCTTCTTCTAACACATGCCTCTGTCTGGGGCAGACTATGCTCACTGTAGCTCAAAGTACACAAGGCTACGCCCGTTAGTTGCCACATGCCCGCATGCTCCGCATGCTCAACAAAGAAGTAGCCCTGGCCTATCTCAAAACTCTCAGTGACTAATTTAGAAAGAGTCTGTTGCTCCATGTTCATGCATATGTCTCATTGTCAGGGTTCCCCTTCGTTGCATCAATCCCCAACATCCCCAATACATGTTGGGGGGAGTTTACCACATTCACGCAATGTATCCCTGACAGAGATAGCAGGGCTGAGCTTGGCTGTGACCCACTGATCCCTATGCGTCACTTACATCATCACTAGAAAATCCCCTGACCGATCCATTCACATCGGATCCCCCAAGCCAGGCGTCGACAACGGTTTAAAAGGAAACGGAGATGATAATCTCTCAAACCCTGAACCCAAGTCTGAAGAGAGACCCCTGCAATCCCTTTCTAATCCACCCATATCCTTGGGGTCCTCAGGGGACTCTTCCTCCCACGTTATGTCCGGGCTCCGTGCGCGTGGCCCAGGATCTCCGGGCCTCCTCGAACTTCCGCATGCCTTTTTGTATCAAAAAGTTCTGTGATATAATTATGAGTTATGTGGTATGGATTACAAGGTTCGAATTGAACGGTTTTCTGACATGGACTATAATTAAGGAGTTCCACTTTGAACTCTGATATGAGGCTTATACAGGGATCATGTTCGCAAAATCTATTACCCCTGTTGGGGGTCCCAATGATCAGGATTGCAATTCATTATAATAATTGTAATAATCGGAGGTAAAGGGGGAACCGGGTTTTTTTGAAACCCCCCGAAACCGTATGGGTTTAATGAGTGCCCACATGGATTTCCCTAACCCGGGTTCATGGCAAAGTCCATCACGACTTTTGGGATTAGCCAAGGCTTTAGGGCTTCTGAGCAGATGGAGTGCTGAGGGATTCTCAGCCGATATCAGGGGTGGCTGTTGAGGATCTGCGAGCAGTGCCTTCCTCTAACGGGATTTGCAGTTTGATCACCATACAACTGTATTGCAAGCTCATGTGCAGTGTGGGAGTTGGAGGTGGCAGCGGCGCGAGTAGTACTTGCAGCCGTGCTTGCTGAAGCGTATATTCAGGTAAGGGGAGGAAGGAGGAGCAGGAGCTGCTCATGCAGTGGTGCAAGAGTACCTTTTTGTGGATGCGTTGTCAGGCCAGAGACTCAGCAACCCGGCTTCTTAGCTTCAACAGAGCCCAATGCCAGTGCTTCTTACACCTGTAGGACTAACGCAGCCACCCAAACTTGGAAGTATGGTGGCTCCATGGCCTGCCCCCTGGCGCCATCGGGAAAGTAAAAGCAGGAATCAAATCATGTGTTTCACCGGAAGCAAGGACGGCAACAGCGCTGCCGGCGTGTGGGGCCTTTCATTCATCGAACCCACAGACCAACATCCCTCAAGCAACATCTTGCCCGCGCACAAAGCAACCTTGCACGAGCATGCAAAATTTCGTCAGTATCTGGCACCCAACCGAACCAGCATGTCATCGCACGATTGAAGGCCAGTTTGTGCAGTTTCGTTCGTCACAGAAGATTCACTAGACTCCATATTGCATTCTGCTCTGGGGGACTGCCCTGGATCAAATCAAAACCAGGGAGGCTTCAGACAAGCCCTATGCGGCGGCCAAAAAAAAACTGTTCCATTCTGTTCTGGACCTACTGCGCACAATGATGAAAGAAGTTGGCATGTTACTGTCAAGGCTGAGCACGCTGGTAGTAGTAGCTGTCCCTGCCTCTGGCAGGCATCCTCCAGCTAGTCGTGTTTTAGGCTGGCTCAAGTCAAGCTGGCACAGAACTTCTGAGGCAGTGGCCTGCTCCCAGTGAAAGCTATCAGGCACATCATATCGCCCAGAAGTGGCAGACAAGAAGTGATGCCGAATGTCCAAGGTGGGCTGCTAAGGTCACAGCACGAAGTGAGGTGAGCAAGCAAACACCCATCAAAGCTGTTATGAAAGTTGTCCTTATCATGTCCAGAGCCAAAGAGTGGCTGACCAGCAAAGCAGGCTGTAATACGCCATGATGTACCGTAGCTGCAAACTCCATTTCAGGAAGAAGCGCATATCCCAACTGATTTCCGAACATTCATCTGTCTCCTACCTCACTTGTCCAAAAGGTTCGGCCACACGCTGGACCGTGCTATTCTCTATGAACGGAGCGGAAGAAGCCCTAGTGTGGAGTCGTCCAAGAATTCACATTCAAAGTTCTTGGGCTTCTTCGGCAACGTTTGCAAGCCTACTGCAGTGATACCGATACCACACACTGGGTCAGACAGTCCCGCCCTTGACGGGCACCGGAACCTGCGCTCCCCGTGCAAAATCAAACAACACCCCTGCATTTTAGATGTCTCCTCTCATGTCCGGGGCTAGCGCAGGAACAAGGCTTGGGATTCCGGTGAGTGTTCTGCATTTCGCACAGGACACTCCAATTTAAACTGCATAAGACATGCTTCGCAAAGATGACTTGCAAGCAAAATTACAAACTGATCCGTTCCACTTACCTTCGGCCAACCATGCAAATATGTAGCAGCTCCCTGCTCTCTTGAGTCATCTCAGGTTGAAGGCCCTTTGAGCCTCCAACACACTCATTACTCCGTTTCCTGGAGAAGCTATGAATTTGTAGACTCTGCAAAGGCAGTGCTATCCAACCGTTGCGGGACGGTTCATCGACGTGCAGTGGTATAAGTCCCCGGCGGGTGCTACGTCGAAGACTTGAGTGAAACGCTTCCTGGGGCCCTTGCTCACACCACTTGGCAGTGCCGATGGGTGCACAACCGGCAGTGCACCATGTGAACTTTTCGAATCAGACCGCGACATAGAACCTTGTGATGCAGATCTCGTCTTGGACGATGATCTGTGCGAGGGGCAGCCGTAACTCCGGCTGCGGTCCAATCGCGAAGTCGAGCTAGACTTCACAGGGGCCTGGCCCGTCCTCTCCACGGCTTTCTGCTCGAAAGCTTTGCTTCCTTTCTTTCGGCGCTGCGGAATCTTTCGCCGGATCTCCTCTACCGGGAAAACCGGAGGTGCCTTGAGCAGGCACTGCGGGGCCTTGGCAGCTTTCAGCCATATTGGTACAAGCGGGTCGGCAAATAAGCTTATCGGCAACTACCACCATGGCAACTATCCATACTGATAATGCCATAGCCCTTGAAGAACCAGGAATCCCACATGACAAAAAAATTCTCTCAACAAAGCTACAGCCTTCAAAATAATGGCCAGGTGACCAGCTTTGCCTTTTGAAAGCTGCATGGACTCGTGGCCTCAGCTTGGTGCGATGTTTTGTTTTTACGAAGGACTCTTGCATGCTCGAAGCAATGTTGGATAAGCCCGTCGGCCAGCATCTAGATAAACCCTGAAGCCTAAGACTCTAGCCGGACGCGATGTAGACGATGTCGGCACGGAGGGCTTGATGGCAGTGCGAAGGCGCTGCAAGAGAGCCTGCCAGCAGCGCAAGGCCCGATTATGGCATCTTAGATGTCTTGGGTTAGGGGGCTGATGGAGTAAACCCCTGCTTAGCCCCCAGCCGGCCAGAATGATGTTGGTTGTTTGATGTTCTTGCATGTCTGGGGTGTTGAGGATAATGACTTTGGACCACCGGATGCCCAGCTCAGCGGGAGCTTGGGCATCTCAGGCTCCTACCTTGGCTTGTAAAGGAGCCTTTCATGGTTCAGTCCTCTTTGTTGATGACAGGCTGGTTTGCCGGGCATTGCATGTGGGACTCCCCATGCAGCAGTCATGACAGCATGCCATAATGTGTTCCTGACGTTCATACTTGCGGAGCAACGACCTCGCGAATCCTGCTTGCACAGAAATTGCAAAGAATAGTACCAGGTTACCATGAACCAACATGAGATTCCCAGAAACGACATCATGTTCTAGCTGCGATGGCCTCGCGTGTTTGCCTCTCGTGCTCACGGCACCGGTCGTACCTACAGCGCAAGCTCAAACTTATTCTACAGACGGACCAGACTGAGGATTGATACGTCAATACTGCAAACCCTATGTGTCTGCTTCTCTCAAGCTGTGAGGTGTTCAATGAAGCCGTGGTTATCGTCTTGACAGGAAGACCAACAGGTCCATGGTAACATCTACACTGTTGCTTCTGAGCTGAGGGATCCCAAAATACCCATCTCTGCTACAATACGCACGGAAATCTTTCTCAGGGCTGCGCCAATCCCTGCAGTCCGGCCGAGAGCCGACAGCCAGAAGGAGGTCATACTGCCTCAGGACTAGCCGCGACATTTTTGCGGGATTGTGTGGTGTGTCTTCCTGCCTAGAGTTCAGTGATGGCCTGCTGTGTATGGGATATCAGCAGCACATGGGGTTACAGCCTGTTCGGGATTTGTTGAAGGGTACACGTGTTTAGCACTATCTCTGGTCCGAGAATTGCTCAACAGTGGAGTAGCACTGAACATGGACAGTCTCAAGAAACTCATCCTAGTGCTTTCTGCATTCCACGGCTGATGACTTTCGTCATCCTGCATCTAGGCTTAGATCAGCCGTATATTCCGTGCATTTGGTGGGACGTGAATGTCCGCGTCAGACTTCCGTTCTTAAGGGTGCTGCCAAGAGCTGGGTGCAAGCTGATGTTCACCAAAGCTCATCCTTTTTCAGAATCCCATAGCCCCTGTCGCTGGCAAGCTGCTGCACGCGATAGGCCAAGCAGTTCGAAGCTGCTCTAATCAATGCACCGCTGTCAGCCAGGACCCCTTCCGGAACCAAGCTGCCTGGGTTCCGAAAAGAACGAAGACTTCAACACTCTCAGAAGCTTTGCATTATTTTACGGCTCATGTCATGCCCATTGCAAGCAAGCAACCAGCCTTCAGCCTTGTGATCCGTCGCCCACCAACCTCAACATGGGCAAAGCCGGCCACCAGCACACCGAAGTGCGGCCCCGCCGGATGCGAGTCCTTGAGAACGGCAGGACTCGGGAGGAACGGCGAATGGCATCATGTTTTGGGCAAACAGTCAACCGTGCAGTCCCAGATTCCGGCATTGGCAACCAAGCTTCACCTGCACAAGGCCATATCAGGCAGAGAATTAGCATAGAGATGCATGATACTTAATTCGGAGACTTGTATTCTTGGGTTGGCAACGCAGCGCCATGGAGGAATTGCATCCCTGCATCTATTTCTTCAACTCCGGTAGCGCCTGGAGGTATGTCCAGGCGCTCTGCATGAAGCGCCACAATGGCGGCACAGGGATCTTGTGGTGAGATCCCAAGGGGCAGCGCGCACATTGGAACACACTGCTGCGACTGCTGGCCTGCGCCAGGCTTGGGAAGATCAAGCCAATGAAAGGCATTTAGGGGGATATTCGGGCAATCAAGAGATGTACAGATTATATAGGGTTGAAGACAACTTCATGTCTGCTAGCCGAGACACATCTTTCATACGCCAGCAGCAGCAGTGATTCCTTGATGCGCCTAAATTTGGCCCTTTCCAGCACTTCTTGTCCTGGGCCGGATATGCGAAGGATCCACTGAAGCCAAGCCCCAGTTGACAGAATTCAAATTTCTAGGTCATTCTGATTTTGGTGCTTCAGTGCATGCCAAGGTGCGCAGCTCTACCACAACGCAGTCCTGCATTCTTCATTCGGGTGTTACCAACATACATTCCAGAGCTCAGACAGGGATGCCTATCCTAGCGGGCACTCAATACTAAAGTGATGGATCTGGAACGACAGCGGTCAAAACTGTAAAATATGGACTCCTGAAGTGCCTGCACTGTTGCTGTGCGAACATGTAGAAGTCCTCAAGCGCAGCAAGCTGAGCTTAAAAGCCGGAGCATGCGGTAAAGTGAGCTATGCAGAAAGGCTTGGCACCATGAGACTAAGAGTGCTGATCTCTAGGCCCCCTGCCCATGAGCGCTGCCTCACCGAAAGAAGCACCCGGTCCAAGGACGCCAACTGCGCCAATCTCCTCTTGGCTAGGCCGTCAAGCAGGGATGAAATCACATCCCCAAGTCTGTTGCAATGCCAATTACAACCCATGAGTATTCCTTCAAAGCCTATACTGGGTACTTGAGACTCGTGCGCGGCAGCAGCGGGAAGTGCAAGTCACATTTTTGCACAGGATTTAGAAAGCTCCTTGGCATGCACTTGGGCATAGCCATCAACAAGGACCATCATGGAGTCGGCAGGTTCTCCAATCAAACACAACGCGTATCCACTCCGCACTTTGGAGGTATGCAGCTCTGTGGCCAGAAACGTTGCCAGCTCGCCCGGCGAACGTGCAAAAGCCAGCAGGCGCTTCAGAACCGCCTCAACCTTCGTGCGGAACCGAGAATCCTCGATGCTTTGCTGCGCTTGCTCTTGGGAGATGTCGGCGCTGTTGATGCCCCGGAAGCTATCCACCTCACCCATGCGCAGACGCTCCTGCTTAACACGGGCATAGTTGTGCGCGGAGGGGCTCAGCAAGGGAGGCGGTGGAGCTGTGAAGCTCGAGTCCCCATCATCTGATGCCACTGAGGCCTGAGAGCCTTTGTTGGAATTGGACCCCAACGAGTCCAGGTCGTCAACATCCATGCCTGCTAGGACCTTGCCATTTCTCTAACCAAAGTTCTCCGGAGCGGAGTGTTGAAAGAAAAATGCCCTACAATGAGAGCTCTCTGCAAAGCTTAGAATGCTGGATTCAACCTGCCTGGTCTGGGTGGATGCCTCCAAATCTCATCTAGATTACTGTAGCTCCTCCTGTGAAGTGAAACCAACTGCGGAAAGCAGGCACTTTTGCAACCTCACAGTGCTCAACGCCCTTTCTGATATCTACGGTCCTAATTATAGGTCCCCAAGATGGTCTCCCACCCGTTTCCTGGGTCTTGACGGTGGGCCCGTAATTGGGTTTGTAGGATACATCTGCTACCGACCTATTTCCCGTGCTGCTGGCTGCATGCAAACCGATCTTTGCCCAAGCAAACCTCTGGTATATGGCACTCTCCTGTGGTCTCTAATCCTAACATCTCCGAACAAGATGTGTGCATCTGCCAGGCTGCTGTTGCTTTCGCTGTCAGTCTAGGACTACAGACCTTGCCTTTGGACTAGGACCTGCAGATGCACAAGAGAGGTCCTACGTCAAGCGAAGCAAGCTTGCTTTGCTTCATGGGGCTAAAGTGACACTATGCTTACCTCTTGGTGGGCGAGCTATTGGCCCTCAGAGCTCATCATTTGGTGTGACGAAGGAACTGAGGCGGTTGACCTCACGGGCATCCTTGCAGCACGACCTCTAAGGCTCCAGCCTGTAGGAATTGGGCGACCGTCAGTGAGTGCTTGGCAGCTGAATTCAAGGCGTGGCTCAAGCATGTTCGTATCATCAGAACCCCTTCAAAGCATGGTGCCCGAATCCCAACTCTGAGACACAGATCCCAATTGAGGACCTTCAGCGCCATATCTTCTCTCTTGGCCGGCGCAACTTTTCCACCCGCAACGATCTGCTTCAGGCGCTCAAACTCCGTCCTTGGAAAATACCAAAGAGAATCACGGGATCAACAACCTGCTTATCATCACTGTCTTTCTTCCATTCCGCGGCCCATCTTACTACGGCACAGATGAATCCGGGCCCTGATGAATGTGGCCCTCGAAGACGTTGAGGCGAGGGACTTGAACCAATCGCTCTTGTCCTGGGTCTTCTCCATAGCCTTCACGTAATAGGCTGCTGCCTCCTTGTCTGCACCTCTGCAGCATGCGAAGGTTGCCAAGCTTGCCACAGAAATTTGGAAACGGAACGTACGACCGAAGCAGCTAGGCCCCTCGTGCCCACATGCCTGCAAATGCCTCAGCCTCTGTTCACCAAGCAAACATTGCATCCTGATCCGTATTTCTCACGCTCGTCTCTTGAGCGTAAAAAAGTCATTACGCAGCTTTTTGTGGAGGGTGGGCGGACATGAAGCGTCTGAGTCTTCCTAGGCATGACATGCGGACGGCATTAATCATTCTTTAAGTAGATTATTTACGACAGCGTGCGCCAGCAAAATACTGATTTCACATCCATACAGCGCCTGTCAGGGAATCTGCAGCTGCCTTGGCAGTCCTCAGTCAGCAGCACAAGACGGCATCGCAGAGTCACAGACTTGAGAGGCCGTAAGAATTGGAATAATGGAGAATCGTGTCACAGCAGGGGACCATGCACTCAGAGGAGCTCGCCCTCGGGGTAGGGCGAGCTCGAGAGGTTCTGACTTGAGAGGAAGCAGGCAAGCTCTAACAAGGCCTCACAAAAGCGGGCGCCTGCGACACCTCAGCCTCACTGCAGCTCTAGCAACGCTGCAGTATATTATAGTATATTCTAATATATTATAGTATATTCTGATATATTATAATATATTATAGGATTAGGGTATTATTGTTGGGTAAAAATGGCAGGAACATCTACGCGTAACCTGTCACATCAACCAAAACATATTGCTATGGCTCTAACTTTCTCCCCACGATTTGTACGATTTTATAACACCTATAATCCCTGTAGTTTCCATTTTCTTTTCCATTATCCCAATATAACCCCTAAACCCTAAACCCTAATCCCTAAACCCGTAGATTCATCCTCATGCCAAGGCAAGGCTCTGGATGACTTCGGCCTTGTTTGCTCCATCCTTCATGAAATCCGCAGCGAACCTTTGCAAACTCAGAGTGTATTACAGTATACTATAGTACATTCTAAGATATTATTATAGTATGTCATAATATATTACAATATGTTATGGTATTAGCGTATTATAGTATACTATTGTATCATTGTATATTATCCTAAAACGCCTAGGAAGTAACAGGCATCAACAGCACACCTCACCAGCAACGTTTCATATCAATGCTTGCCACCTTTTCCTCAGGACCTGGCTTGTCAAACTCGCGGATGGTGCCTTTGAGTCCAAAATAGACCTTTGCCTCCTTGCAGGCATGTTGCGGGGAGCAAGGGTGGTAGTTACCCGAAATGAGGGGACCCCAATATAGACCCCTTAAAAGCTACCAAACCCCCAGGGTGACGGGAGTGTGGGAAGACCTTTGAATACGCGGAGGTTCAAAGACGAACGGTCCCGGCAAGCCCTGGGCACTGGACATGGGTTCCTTATTAGGGAAAAATCAGGGACCCTGCTGCACTATGAGAAGGACCCCTATGTCAACCCTGAATGGTCCCTTGGTATTATAGTAGGTCCTTCTTCAGGAAGAGGGTCATAGCATCTGGTTTCACCTCGCCGGTGTACTCAATGTCTGCCCCGCCGTTTGCCGGAAAGAAACGGTACTTGGGAAAGATGGTGTCCATATCACCTTGGCCCACTGGCGTGTGAAAACCCAACTGACTTAAACCCATTGTCAACAACCAATATATTCCACATTCCCTACTATAACCCCAGCATATACCCTACTATGATGTAGTAGTTCCCATTTATCCATTATCCCTGTATAACCCCCATCTGCTTTGCAAGCTTGGCTTCTGTATTCCAAGTCCTTCCCAGGTGTCTTGTATCCAAACTGTTCTGCCACATCCTGCGCGCAAGACTGCGCAAGACTGGATGTCATCACCGGTCGAAAAGATTGAAAATGAGATGTTTGAAACTCTGCACAGCACCCTGCCCCCTGCTGCTCCTGATTCATCTTCTCACCGTAGGTTGAAATCCCAACGCTTCCAATCAGAACCTGTGCACAGGGCAAACCCTGTCAAGGTATGCCTCCTGCCAGCAATCACGCCATCGTTGCAATAGACCCCGACAAAATGAAAGACTTTAAGCACCCAGAGACTACTTGAAGAGGAGGTTTAATTAAACGGTTTGGAGTCCAAGACCACATATTTTTTCCCAAGAGCACGTCCCCTTGATGCTACATGGAGGTAAGTCGTGCTTCGTCATCAAATGTTTCTATCCGAACTTTCTAAAGAGACGATGGTTGTTTCCAAGCTACTGCTTTCTATATACAAAAACGGAACACATGTAGGCAACTGACCCAGGCAAAATGTGCTCCCTTCAATGCGGGCGCGGCCGTGCGCACATGCAGATTTTGCTCTTCCCTAAAAGACTTAACAAGCACCAGCTTCCTTTACAAGTCCATGGTGCCTTTGCTCCCACCGCTGTCTGTGCGAGCGCCTTGAAAGCATCGGCCTGCACAAGAACTGAGGTATGATCCAATTCATACCTGCTTGACGAGCGTTTGTGCGAGCACTTTGCTGCGTCGGCTTGATGTATGAAAATCAACTCTCGAATAAGGTGCCGCCTTTTCACCGTAAGGGTAATCTTTGTCGAAACGAACGAAAGCTGGAAGGTCTCTCCCAGTCAGCATCTTAAGCGTGTTGTTGTCCAGGTTTACAATGTTGTAGTCGGCAGCCTTGGCGCAGGCACACAGTCATGGATTGGTAAACTTGCTTAACCATTTTAACCTTACTCCAAGGTAGAAACATGTAAGACACGTTTTGGAAGAGACAAGCGGTTGCAAAAACATGCCTGTGTCACAGGCAAGTTGCATGTGCAACAGCTGCCAGCAGGGCAAGAACATTTACTCGCACAGCCATGACGCTGCGTCAGCTCTGTACACCTCCCCGCTTGAAGGACAAAATTGCTCGAAGTCGGCGCAATATCAACATCAAACGGCAAGCACATCTCCAACAAGCCGAGGACAAACTGGCTAGCAAAACGTGAACTACAGGCTACATGGCCTAGTGATTGCTACCTGCACTTGGTTTTTGTCTGAAGCAAGCATGACCCGGCAGGTCCCAGCTGAGTTTGCACCAAGCATGCACCAGCCAAGGGATTGCCGTGCGCCTTGCCCGCCTGCCAAGCTTGTGTTCCAAAATGTCCACACACATTTAGGCGCCCATCCTTACAGAAGGAAACCAGAACAGATTCCGCGTGATGTTGGTCCCTGTAACCTCTGTTGCAATCCCAGTTTCCATGTCATTTTCAATTCTCTTTTCCATTTGGTTCTCCATTCTTGGGCCCTGATTCCTAAATAGTAGTTTCCATTATCCCTAATAATACCTATGTGACCCCTATTTGGGGAGTAAATGATGGCCTCAAACCCTTTTTTGAAGGAGGACTCACTGACGTGCCTCCAGCCTGCAGCCTCCACAACTCGCACTCGTGGCAAGCTGCAAAGCTCGCAAGCCATGCAAAGGCCTAAACCCTAAACCCTAAACCTTAATGGCCTCAAACGGTCAGAATCTGAGTCTCCAAGGTCTCCGAGATGCAGACGCAATCGCCCGACTCTGAGACGGCCACCTCAACATGAACTGAGCTGAATCGTATATTACAGGGTTCAGGGTTTGGGGTTTAGGGTAATATAGTGTAGTAGGATATCGTACATTTATGGTGTATTTTATACTATGTAGAATACTAGTAACAAGTTTATAACATATTATAACGTATTATGGCCTTTTGTGATATATAATCGTATGATATAATATACTGTCACAAAATTCAGTATGTCATGTAACCTGCAACCCACAATGAATCCAGGCCCAGGGGCACAGCCACTCGTATCTGCGCAAGAGGCGGCGGAGAGTGGTGCCACCCGCAGCTGGGATGGCCACACCTCCGCCCACCACCTGCTGAGCTCAGGTAGAGGCTTGCATCTTAGCCCTCTAAGCCCTCAAGCATGCAGACTACATGAATTGACCTGAATATCACATAACGCGGAGAGAAGAGGTTGTACCAAAGGGAAGGGCATTCCAAGACCAGTGAACTTTCTTTCGCGAGCAGCGATCTGCTCCGAGGACTCGCGGCAAACTGCAAGCAGGCTTCAGTGGGCTAGATGCAAACATGAATTTGAGAATCTTATGACAGTACAGTGAGGCCATCTGGCAATTTTCTACAGGAAGTCTGTCAGCAAAAATGCGTGTGTGCTGGAACTGCCTCTTCACATCCGCTTTGGTGACGTTGAGCTTCGAGCGCCTCGTGCGTGCAGGAAGGGTATTGGGGGTGGGGTGTATCCTCAGCCCTTGTGCCGAAGATGGCCCGGAAAGGATCATATGTTAGCATGGGCAATACTGTTGCTGCGGCACAAAAACAAGCCACAGGCCCTCGCCCATTTGTTCAAACATGATTATGACGACCCTTGAACAGGATAAGCAAAGTCCAGATTCGCAGGATTAGAATTTTAAGCCAGTAACCAGAAACCAATCACGACTGCTGAGGCTGCTCACAAAATAGGGATAATGGAAAAGAAAATGGAAACTACTATATATCATATTTAAAGGGGTTATATAAGGGCCATATTAGGTTATATTGGGATAATGGAAAAGAAAATGGAAACTACTATAATGGTGTTAGATTGGGGTTATTAAGAATTCTGAAGTCATAGTCCCAGGTGCTCCGCGTGCACCTCTGCCCAGACTTGATCAAATTTGCGCTGGGCACCCCAAGGGATGGTCGCATTGGTCAGGCGGGCCTCTAGCATTCGACAGCCAGGAAGTGAACACCAAATGTAAACTCTGGATGACAAACTGAAAGGACTGGGTATCCTAAAATGAGGTTTGTACCCCTCCTCTCCCCTCCTCTGTTAGCCAAGCTGCGGCAGTGGGGTCTGTGAAACGCTGGTTGCCTGAGTGTCCACCGCATGTAACGTTTATGCTGACTGCCCCCTGTACCAGTTGACTCCATGGCTGCCAGCAAGTTGCAAGGGAGTATTTCCTGGTTTGCTGTTAAGGAACTCAAATTAAGTTACCACAATGGGCATGCAAAGTAGTTAACATGGTTTCCCGAATATAGTATCTGAAATTAGGTTGCTTAACAGCAACCCAGTTTCTTGTGTCTGGTTCTTGATTGGCGTGTCCTTTCGGACTGGCTTCTCGCTTCCGAGAGCCCAGAACAGTGGCCAGGATCTCTTGGCAGCGATACGCTGCAGCTTTCGGCCTTTCTCTGTTCCAAAGAGGACGGGGAAGTTCCCGATCACATACTTCACAGCCTTGGAGAAAGAGGTTCCCTGCGCTGAACGAAAATGACTGCAAGAAGGTGAGGCAGGCAGCTTATGGCGAGCTTTATCCAAGATGCGCTGGGAAGCAATTTGTTTGAGCGGCTAGGTGCAGGACAGTTGCATGTGGAATGCGCGGATTAGCCAAGATGTCCGCCTCCAGGTAATTGCCCATGTCATCGATACTGAGTCCGGGAATGTCCTGCGGCATTCCAAGGCAGCATATGACGCCCAGGCAAGACTGCCTTGCCGTTCGGTCACTGGATAACTGTTCGTAGGAAGTGCCCTCAGAAGCATCAAATGAAGCATCTTGTTAGCACGTTAAACTTCAGCGGGTCCTACTCTATGCTCCAGTTCACAAACAGATGAGAAAACTTGAGCGCTGTCAGGCCTGATAGGGCGTCTTCGTGAAGGCTCGGGACCAGAGCGTACGGACCCCATCGTGCCAAGTCTTGTTCGTACCACTGGTGTTGTACGGCACCTGCTGCGGAGCACCGCTCTCTCCAGCAGAACTCCCAGGTGCGTAGTCATCTTAGCCGTTCTAATCCCTGAAAGCCCCACATTTTGAACCCAGGCTGGAGTGCAACTTGCTGGGACACCGGCGCACTCCACATTACATCAAATCCCCACGATAGCCTCTTCCACTCAGCAGGAATCATTAGCTGGAATGACACCTGTGCATGTGGCATGTCATATGGCTGCTCTTACGATTCCACGATTCCGGAGGTCGGGTAGCAGGATTTGGGGCATTGACGGAAAATGTCTTACGCGTTATGTGGAATCTTGATTGAACGGCTCCGAACTCCGAAAGAGATGTCCCTACAGCTTCCGATGCTGGAAAGAAATTTCTCGAGACATCCCTAACTGCTCTCGTGGAATCCTTTGGCTCGATAGGAGGCTCTGATAGCCTTCAACAGTAGCCTTTAATCCTTACATCTTTTAATTCTTTTTCTGGGGTAGAGGACCCCTCTGTCCAGACTATGAACGGCATGCTGATTTTTAGCATGGCGCTACTTGCAAGAGTCCTTAACCGAAGCTGTTCAGCAAAAAGACCATGCGGCCAGAATCTTCTCCAGCGTGTGAGATGCGACAGCGGCCCCATCAGACTGTGCCTAAGGCCCTACAGGCTCGTACTCCACACCTTGGGGAATGTTTCTTGTATCTCTTGCAATGATATAGCTCGAACCCTGTCGGCTGCTGGCCTCAAGATTCGGCAAGATGAGATGGTCCAGGTGATCCAGTGTGCCTGCAAGGCTTCGATGCTTCACCAGTAAGATTCTATGCTGCATGGAAAATACTATACCTCTTTATTGGGTACCATAATAACATCATATAATATCCCTAGTAAAATACGACCCAATTGCAACCGGCCAGTTTGTTCGGATGCCTAGAGATGAGAAAAGAGCTGCAGCAAAGGCACCAACCGCAGGATCAGGCCAGGAACTGCAGTTGAGCGGTTTGATTGCATACTGGATCGGCGGGTGGGGAAGCAAGCAGTTCATTGTAAAAAGCCCGGTATCCTGATGCTGCTTTGAACTGCTAGAAACATGTAAAACAGGTTCAGAAGTTAGGAAGCTGATGAAATCCTGCCCTGTCCTCAACGAAACAGTAGGCCCGAGCATTACCAAAAAAAGAGTGCGCGTTGCAACCCTGAGGGATATTGCCCAAGTATCATACGCTGCGATCACAACCGCATTCCTGACGTGGCTGGTATTGAAGACAGCGGTCAAATCGCCGAAAGCAGGCAAGGAGCCGGTGTCCAACCGCCGCATGTTATGCCTTGGGCAGCAGCTGCGGTATCAGAACACTGATAGCCTTAGTCTCCTCATTTTCCGCACCCTTCGCATGCATAACCTCCATTGCTGCCGCAGTGCGCAATATAGATTAAGCGGTTCCCCGCTTCAGACCATGTAGGCCTCTTGCCAGCAAACGGGGCAGAGCCAAAAATGTGGGTCTGCGCGAAATTGTTGATTGGTGCAGATTTGGCCGTCCTGAGACAGATGAAAATGGGAAAGGTTACTTGCAAAACGCAATCCAAACAGCAAAAACCTTGCCCATCAACAGCTTTGTGCCGCAGCTCCTGCAACCGTACGGTTCTCCAAACACAACTGTGCCCTAGGCCACCTAACCAAGGCTCACATTGTGCATCATAGCAGTCTGGAACTCATTCGGAAACCAGGAGAGATTGCCCAGTTCGCCCTCCTCGAAGGGGCACAGCTTCCCATGAGCCACACTCATCTCTTAATTGGTAAATGCTCATCAGCCGAAGGACATGGCAGAATTAAACGAAACATTTGGAAACGAATCTTTCTCAAAACATCGCGAAGTGGAGCCAGGCTGAAGAGGACTGAAGACTGTTTTTCGGAGAGGTCCAAAGCCGGCAAAAATCAATAGGTATTTAACGAAGACTTTGCCAAGCATAGGAGTCCTTCTTAAAACCTTGACAGCCTGAAACATAACTCTGAGGAGGCATACGTTCTCACTGCCGAGTACTGAGAGTTTTGGAAACTGATTACCTGGGGGAGCCCTGCACCATGCGTGCTGTAGCAGATTCATGCACGGCCGGCTTGCCAGGGGCAAACATGAACAGGCCACATGTAGGTACTGCAGCAGCAGGTCAACATCACCCCACACCTTGCGTAGAATAACCCTATGTAGGGAATGCTTGTTATTAGTCAAGGGCCGAGTGCCTTGCTTGTAGGGCCATCTGAGTCTCAAGGACAGCTTGAAACTGCAACCTTGTTCCTTCCCTGTTCAAATCCCGTGTCCCCATGAAACCTGCCTTACCTAACTTTTAAACTCAAGCATACCCAAGCCCTCTGACATTTAGCTGTAAGCTGAACCTTAGATTACCAGCTTGCCCTGCTCTCCGTCACATCGTCAAAGACAAACCCAACATCCAACTCCGCTGGCAGGGACTTGGCGGAGGTGCTTCGAGATTTTTTTCCATTTCCCCGCACATTCCCCTATATAACACCTATATAACTCAGTAGAGAACTGAGCTGCCGGCTCAACGTGTCTTGCTAGTGAATACCGCCACTGTACAGGCAGGACAAAAACCCAGTGGGACAAAAAACCCTGCCGCGGCCTGGTGAAAACTACGCAAAGAACTAAATGTACAAGCCCTGTTGCTCTCTCCTTGTCCTCAAAAAACAACCCCACCCGAAAGACCCGAACCAACCAACACCACCCAACAGGGCTCTTAAAACTACTATTTAGGTTTTGGGGTTTTGGGGTTATATAGGGTCGTTATAGGGGCTATATATAGAACAAAATGGAGTTCCCGGGTTTAGGGGTTTCTTACCATCCCAAGCCGCCATATGAGCTGCGGTCGAAACTCGGTATATAAGCTA